ATTTCCACTATCGAACAAGTCTCTTCTTCCTGTTCGTTCGCTTCTTTTCATCTACATCGCTGTTTTCTTCTTTCTGAATAGGGGATGAAATTTCGAACGATGTGAAAATGTTCATCGAGTGTTTCTTAGTGGAAAAATATTTGGTATTCCCGAGGAACTCTTGCATTCGATTACTCGACATTGAACTCGACCATTGTGGATGGCTGAAGCGTATACCAAGCCGAAGAAGCTTCAGCGGAAACGAATCTTCACACGGAAACTCCGTAGAACTCATTTGTTCATATTTTCCATGGAGAAGCGAACGCGAATCAACGTACTCGATTTTATTTCTTGCGCAACTGTTCGGTTATTCGAGCACGCGAATTCTGTATTAGTGGTAGCGCAAATTGTCTCATTCGTGACGAAGATTAATCAAAGATCCGTAGTTACGGCCGCGAATTATGGGGCAAGAAAGTGGAATAAGACGATCATCGGTTAAACGGCAGATTGTTAGCTAAATGATAAATTAGAGATGATTCCTCGTAGAAAAAGGTTGCGACGAGTTCTTCTTATTTATATTTTACGCGATTACGTTGTTAGTAATAAGCATGATTGATCGCCGCTGTTAGCTAGCTGGGAAATTCGAGAACGTTTCTAATAGGGAAAGGAAATTGCTCGTTACTTTTGTCTTTGACGGTTTTAGAGAATTTAATAGCAATTAGCAATTATTGAATATTATCTCAGAGTAACAAAAGTACATGTTACTTTGAAAATTCTAATACCTTTCGCGAATAACACAACACAACCACTGTTCGATACTTGTGTCAGTTGTAACACGATATTGAAATAAGGTACTGTTAGTATTTATAAGAAGGATATGAGACATTCGAAGTATGTATGCGCATAAAAATAAAGCAGGGAAGTATGTAAGCGAAAGAAATACCGAAGTCACCGAGATTGTTGTTCCGAGAGTCGACAGACGAGGGACAAGAAGAAGTAACACAGAAAACACATTCGACAATTAACATCTAACGCAAATTCACTCGAAATATCTACGATCCATAGATCCTTGAACTTTCCACAAACTACCATCACATGGAACATTTTTTTCAACTCCATTTAATTCATTCCTCAGAAAGATTCCGAAATTCGATCTCTTAATTGCTTCCCGAAGCGCGCGAAATCTGCAAGTTGTTATAACAAGAAGAACAAGGAACCACGTTAAAACCATAAAAACGACCTTGCGCAGAAGTCGAAATAAAATTGGAATAAAACGAACAAACACACACATATACACACAGTTAAGGAACAACAAAAAGAAGCAAGAAAAGAAGAACATAGCGGAAACCTTGGAATAACCTGCTGGATGTACAAAATAGCTCTCTTCGAGGGAATAAACAGCCCGTTTAGACGCGGTATGGAGGACCGATCAACAACCCTGCAAACAAGGATCGTGGAAAGCGGGCCGAACAAAGCAGGGTGAGGTAGAAAGAACGTCGAAGCAGGCGGATAGAGGATACAAGGAGAATGGCGAGCGGTGTTGAGGGGGTGAGACCGAGGAATGAACGAATCCGTGACGTGCCTCGAGGGCAGCAACCGACACGGCGAGTTGCAGTGGACGTCCTTGCTATGTTATCTTTCACGGTTCGTTCCCTTTCACTTTCAGTGTCCAGGAACCAGAAAGCCCAGACCTCCGCGAACAAAGATACGCCTCCGCGTTCGCGTTGTCTGTGCGAGATTGAAACGCCACAAACGACCGCGAGGAGAGCACTGGTCTCGCCTCGATCTCGCCTCCGCCTCTTGCCTCCTTCTTCTTTTCTCTCCATTCTGCCCTATTTCGTCGCTTAATAGCGGCCGCCTCCGCTACCAGACCGATAATTAGATCTCGTGAAAGAGGGTACACTTGTTAAACGACGTGTGACAAGCCGCGCCGCCGTTCGATTCTAGAGACTCCGGTGCTTCCTCGAGCATCGGCTAACATATGTATGTCCGACGATTGCTCGGAGATGACGTGTGCTCGAGGAAGGTGGAGGGTACTGTCTCTGCCTTGAGCGATGAATCAAGCGTGGACATGTTTGTTATTGTAGGATTGCGAGATAGGTTTGTGGGATGGAAGTAGAACTGGTGTACAGGGTGTCGCGTAAACTGACGGTACAAGAGAACGAATGAGGATTGTATGTGAAAAATTAAGTTGAAAATGTAGCATAAAATTTTTTTATGCGTTACTTTGTTTCGGAGAAAATTGAATCGCTGGAAGACAGTGGTAAACAGTGGTAGTGTGACATTTCCACTGTCATCGCTGTAAATTTGTTGGTAAATCACTAATTTCTCGCTTGTACCATCAGTTATGTAGAAATTATAAACTAAATTTATATTTGCAGCAATTTTTCCAACTTTGAACTTCATAAAAAAATTACGCGAATATCCTGGTTATTTCTCACGCTAGATACCAATGTCCAGGTAACTGGTGTTACAAAATTTGTTACTATTCAATGCACGTGAACTATAGCAAATTCCTGGTTAACTATTGCGTATAAAAATCGACGATCTGATAAAATTTAATATACAGCATCGCCCCCTAATTTCAGCTGTTGAAAAAACGACACTGTAGACGAATAAGAAAAAGTGAGATGCAGGTTGCAAAAATTTAATAGAAATTTTGCATTTGAACACAAACACAGACGAGTTAATACTGTGTTAGCAATGCTGTGCAGAAATTCATTTTTGAACTCTAGAAATGGTTCACGTTTTTCAACGCATTTAGTACCACGTGAAATTATTCAAAATTGCAATTTCTTTACTTCACTAAAGAAGTTTCGAAGGACCTAATAAAAGACACTTCCGCTTTTCATAAAGGTTCGCTTATTTAT